TGACTGTGGGCAGCTAACTGGGCACAGGATAGATGGGAGGGAGATGCTGGATAACCCCTGTACTCTGAACTGACTTGCCTACATAAGATGTGTCAGGCCATACGAGGCTGTGACAAGAAGCCAGAGCCAAAGCAAGCCAGGGCAGATGCCCTGTTACCAACCACCCAGACATCTGGCTCTGCATGGTTTCTGTCCAGACACAGCATTCCTGTGGCTGAGCAGCTTTTCTGGATGAGGAAAATTGGGCAGCATTACCCAAGGAAACACACTGTTGCTGGCAACAAGGAGGCTGCATGAGAGGAGCAATAAGCAAGGTGCTGAGGGCTGGCAAAGTCATCTGTCAGAGGTCTGAGTGACTTGTGGTGAGGAAAGACCAGAATATGGGACAGAGGGGGCTGACTGCTAGTGAAAGGAGTCATTTGGAGCTAACTTGGGAGTCTGCAACAAGAGGAAAACCCAGCTGCAGCTTGGGAAGGGTACAGGGCTTCAACAAGTCAGTTCAGCTTCTTTTCCTTACACATATGGCTTGATTGAACAGGACAGGCCGAGCAGACTGAACAACATGTGCAACGACATAAAATAATCTAAAAAGGGATGTTTTGCTTGATTTTTGTCTTGATCTTGGTTGCCAGTTGCCATGCTGCTGGATTCCAGCTGTAGCTCCTCATTGTTCTGACTGCATTGCTAAATTCTGGTTTGGGTTTTTACTTTCCGTAAGCATATTAAAATTTTAATTAAGCACTAAGCCAGTGTTTTAGCTGGTTTTTGAGAATTCAGCTATTTATCTTGTTGATTACAGTTCTCTCAGATCCTTAGTTGTGGCCTAAATTTAGAGCAACTCTGAGCCCTGCAGGATAACTGCTACAACTATTCATTAAAAATGAAGAGATCAGAGTTGATCAGCCGACTGCGGGAGGCTGCATCCTGACAGTCTTCTGATCTATAGGTGCTAGAGCCAGGTTAATGTTGATCTGCTAGTAAAACACAGCATGGAAAGACCTTGCAAAGATGCAGCAGCTCACTAGGAAACAACCTGTTTCATACCTTGTTGTCCACCTGAGATGGTGAGGAAGGAGGGATTTCAAGCAAAGCAATTCTTCTCCTTCATGCAATTTCCACAATGCAACATGAGCCCTTCTCATGGCAAAACATTTAAATGTCCCCACTTCTGTCTCTCTGGGGAATACTTTTCAAGGGATGAATAAGGGTCCCTGCTTTACAAAGCACATGGGCAGCTCCCACAAGGAAGCAGTTCATGTTTAGCCAGCTTCATGTGAAATTTTGTGGGTTTTGGCCTAAACTGAGAGAGAAATCCAAGGGCCCTACAACATCTACTTGTACGTGACAGGTTCATCGCACATGTTAATATGAAAGACTATCAACAGCTAGTGAAGCCAGCTATCAACAAGCAAAACCCTGGCCAGATCTGTCAACATCTGGGACCAGACATCTCTTAAATGCCATTTTAAAAGTGTATCACAATAAGAAATGTAGTGATAATGAAATGCAGAGTCTGGTACCATCCAAAATTCATGGTATTTGCCATGGAGCTGAACTCCCAAGTTTAAGCAGCTGGTGCTAGAAAGCGTTTCTTGTAGCTCGGCAAATAAATTCAACGGAGAGAAAAAAAAGGAGATTATCCTTCTGTGTATAACCCTGACTCAAACTTGTTAACCACCCCTAATTGTAGCTCTCCCTCCTGTGCCAATCCCATCTGTAATACCCAATCAGCTGTTTTTTTCTGTCCTAAGGGCTAGCAAGCTGGTGGCTGCCATGGATGGTGGGGACATTGCCAGGAGCACAGCGGCCTCTTCCTCCGGTCACTGCAGACCAACTGCTGCCAGTCTTCATGCTGTTTTTTGCAATACTTTGGAATGATGAACCTGTTTTTCAAACCATGGGTGACTACCTTCCCCAATGGCCCTTCATCACCAGCCAGGAGAGCCCTTTTCTGAAAGGTCTGAAGTCATCCACTGTTTAATCATCTGAGCTTTCCACTTCTCCCATCTCATATTCTTTCCAGTTAATTCAGTGTGAGTAACTTCAGCTGTTCACTGAGGAACTGGGAAGACTCTGACAAAACAGCCCTTTCCTTCCTGCCCATCAGTCTGCAGCCTCCTTGCACAATGTCTCAGGCCAAAGCCAAGTACAGTGAAAACTTTTCCTTTCACTCGCTCACATTTCACTTTCACAGTTAACTCACATCCAAGATCACTGCTCAGGAAACCACATCTTACACCAGGAAAAGCCCTGCCTCAGGCTACTTTGCCAGGCCCCATTTGGGTATCCAGAGAGGAACTAGCTCCTGACCCAGCCAGGCTCCTGCTTCCCAGCCAGTGCTGACAGCACACACCAGCTGCATCCAAGCCCTCTCCAGTCCCATGCTGCCCTCTCAGGGCTCCTCTTCCGGAATCCTCTAAAACTCATCTTCTGGAATTCTGGGGCTGTGGTGAAAGGGAGATGGAAGAAATAAGAGATGCCAGCTACTTTACTTTATATAGAGAGAAGCTTGATACCTAAAAGCATTTGACTGTCTCAGAAAGAAGAGGTAAATTTTAGGAACCCACAGCTGAGACGTTGTTCTGCTGAGTTTGAAATCTCATTTTTATGCTTATCTCATGCAAAACTGGAAATAACACTGGCCACACTTCCAACCTGCTACAGGGAAAAAATGGTAACAGCCAGGGCAAATCAAAGGAAATGTGCTGCAGAGAAAATCTTTATCAGAAAGTCCCCTCCAGAAAAAACAGATAAACACACATAGTTTCAGAGTGAAGCCTGGAATCTCCATGAAGGCTTGTGCAGCAACACACCTACGGCTCCCCACCACCTCTTTACTGTCCCTTAGCTGGAGATGGTAATTTCTGTAGGTCAGCTGGTGTGAGCTTTCCCTAATCTGCTCCAGGGCAAACTCCACCAGCAGCTGAGACTCTTCAGTGACAGGTGAAGCTGGACTGGCAGAAGGCTCTTATCTGTAGGGGGTCATAGAGCTTTACATATGCATATACTTCAGATTCTCCCTCTGATCCTAAATCAAATAACTGAGAGGAATAGGGAATATTTTCCTAAAACTGGGGGGTCAGAGCTGAGCATGGCCCTGTCTCTGACCTGGCTGTATGGAAAAAAACCACAGAGGCCCTTACTACTGCACAGAACAAGATCCTAAATCTTTGATCCAGTCCTGAGTCCATTGGCAAGTGAAGAAAGGGCTCTGAGGATGGAGTTGTGGCTGTAAAACTGGAGAAGTGCTATGCTGAATGGCCTATTTTGCCACCTTCTTCAGCTACAGCAAGGGCAGCTGGTCACTAGAGCCCCCATCCTGCTCCTGGCTGTTTGTGGGCACGCCCAGTGGAAATCCCTCCAAACTGCTGGTGCACTCCAAATAAACGGGTCTAATTTAGCAAAGCTACAGCTGCAGCTGAAACGGTGAGGAAGGATCATACCAGCAACCAAGCAGGCAGATCAGAAGAGGACAAAGCTTCCAAACAGGTCATGACAAGCAGGTGGGAAGAAGTAACTACGTCAGCTGGAAGGAAAATGTGAACAGAGCCCTACAGTCCCACGAGCAAGCAATTTCTGGGAGGGGCTGCAGAAGCAGCCCTCAGCCTCATGTTAACACTTTATTTATAACATTGCCTTCCTGTTCATAACCTTCCCAAATGTGAATTGCAACTTTTCCTCCCCCCAGCATTATGGTGATAGTTTGGAACATGGAGATGTTTGGAAAGGGGCAATTTGGCATCAGGAGTCTAAAAAGCAGATACAGATGACACCCTAAATGTATCTTTTATGAGTTTGGAACATTTCCTTTAAATAAAGCTAAGAGTGTGTGACAGCTTCTGGTAGTGCTGCCAATAAGGAAATAAAACAAAAAAAATCACGAAGTTCTTAGGCATATGTAGTCTTAGAGATTTGGATACCTTGCTTTCCCTTGTGCCACTCTGAACTGCTTACCAAGTGTTTCCTAAGGAAAGTGCTCCAATAATTTTCAGTTGTCTCCTCACCACATATGCCCTCGAACCCCAACATACTTCCAAATTCTAGGCTTATAAAAAATTAAATGCTCCAATAATTCTAAATTGTGTTTGTTCAGTGTAACTGGAGCCTGGCCATTCCTTCAGTTTGGGGATTTTTGTTTGCAGTGGGTGAAAGAAGAAATGCTTTCTATTAGTGCTTCAAGTTGGAAGCTGGTCAAACAGCATCATAGCAGAATGATTCAGCAGCCTCTGAGCTGATTCACAGTGTATCATAAAATGAGATTAGGAAAACAACAATGCTTGGAGGAGAAAGAAGCCACACAAAGAATCGCAGCAGGAGAACAATACCAGAAAGGAACAGAGGGGAATAATCCTCACTTGGCTTCTGAGAAGCAGGTTGGATGACCTAATAGATGGCTTTCAATGCCCTTCATTCCCCACAGAGTCACAGGGTTCAGCTGCCTGGATCCAGCCACCACAGCTTAATAAATGGCTCTGCATCGACTGAACCACACCAAGTGTTCCTGCGTGCACACCCACAGCCTGTTCCCATTTATCTGAGACCACGGTTCCCCTCTGGCACAGGACCTGGATGCTATTTCACAGTGGGCAGGAGCTTGTGCAGAACCAGTGGTGGAATTCCATGACCATGGAACAGTAAAGAACAGCAAGCAGGGGAAACAATCTTAGGCCGTGAGTCTTCCAGTTAGAAACCAAAAAGCGGTGTTTTCTCAGTCTTACACAAGAAGACATGCACACACATGGCAGCACATTAAAGGAGCACTGGTGACAAACTCAGTGTACTTCCTAGCACTGTCCTGAACAGGAATGAAATTAAACGTGTATTTCATGATTTCCTGAATCAAAGTATTAGCAACCATCTATGCCCAATGCCAAGATGGAAGAGGAAAGCATCATTTAAAATCTATTCTCTGTGAACTTGAAGATCCTATTGATAACCTGGTTTTAAATTACACCATACCTGTAACAGTTGCAGCCTTGGAGTGACAGAGGAAGGCAGGGTCTCTCTCAGAAGTTTTACTAGATCAGCAATGGCTGAATTACTTCCATGCAGAACATAAAATCACAGCTTCATGCAATCAAGGAAAATCAGACAATTATATCACAGTTCCAGTAAAATAGCTATATCTAAAATTTGGCAGAGAGACACAAAAACAGGGAGGAAAAAGAAAAATCTCATATGCCATGGTCTCCTCTTGTAGACTGAAAAAATGATAAAGTGTATCCTTGTTTAGCTCACCGCAGGATGCCTGGAATTTTATAGAAACTACTGCAACTTGTCTCCCAGTAGGGAATAACTGAAGTATGAGATAAGAAATCAACCATGTCCTAACTTGCAGTGACAGATGCTGTAAAAGGAAATGCCCAATAACGGCTTAATGTATAGTAAGATGGCAAATAACTGTCTAGAATTCTGAAATAAGAAAGCATAAACCAATTCTCTAATCACATCTAATCAAAGAACACCATCAATTGCTAAAAACTTCTAGGAAAAAGTAGGTATTGGAGAGGTGGTAGCACGACTATCTTTGTCAGTAGTGTTTGGGGAATATTTTAGCCTGCAGAATTTAAATCCCTCTTATTACTTCCGAGCCAGAGGTGAAAATCATAAATCAGAACCATTCATAACATGCAATAATGGGATGAAATGCTCATAGGGAGAGTTACATGATGAAATCCTGTGGGACTGTGTGTGTAACCCTTACAGTCCTTTATGACAGCATTAAAAATTCTTCTGTCACTAACATCTATACTTCCCTAACTCCTATACTAGGTTTTCTTTCTTCTCTCCTGACATCTCCAAATTTTTCTGTCATACAGCATTCCTTTCACCCTTCCTCCCTGCTGCCCTAAATATATGTTTAAGAGAAAATCATAGGAAAGCATCCCATGCTTAAAAAGATGGGCAGGTTTCAAATTACACTGTAATTACTAATAAGAGCTTTTAATACCAGAGGAGCTTTCCCAAGGAGTTTTGCTCTGATTTCAGGACCCCCATTGTTTTTATAGAGGGCTATTTGGTCCCATTTATAAGGTGGCTACATTTTGTGTAATAAAGACTGCAATGCTCTAAAAATAAAATAACACTGTCCCCACCCTTCTTTTACCCTCTCATAACTGAATTTAAAAAAAAATCCCAACCCATCATGTGTTAGAGCTTTGTTTTCTGAGTAACAAGACCAATCATGTTTCCTCTGCTTGAGGTCTCTCTCTTCTCTTCCTTTTCTTCTAGGTCCTCTGGATCCACACTGACATAGAAATATCCCATGATGGAGAAAATAATGCACACAGCAAAGAGGAGAACAGTGAACAAGACAAATTCAGCCCACTAGGAAAGAAAAAAGAAGAGCAGGTCAGGAGACCCCAGACTCTCAGTCCAGAGGATATCTCTGCACTTTCAAGTGCTTTTTAAAGAGCTGGGTGAAATTTACTTTTTAGTTTTCAAAATAGCTCACAAGATGGAAACTTTCTCATCCTGTTTTCTGGTAAATGCTTGTACACATAATGTAATTATGAATATGTGATATACCTTGAAACAAACCAGTTAGATTGAGCTGGTTTAATTAAATCTTTTCTTGCAAGTTTGTCCTGACTAGAACATATCTACCTGGGCTTTCTGCCCAGAAGATGCTTTTGGGAGAGACAGCTTTGTGTTAGCCAGAAATAATCCCCAGCTCACGCCTTCATGGCATCATCCCAGAAGCCTGATAGCCTGAATTAAACTACCTCAGCAACACAACCTCCCCACATAATCCTGACATCCCAGGGGTGCCACGGGCAGCTGGCCTGGAAGGATTCCCAAGCAAGACCCTTGAGGAGGCTGACTGCCCACTGGTCTAGCTGTTCCTGGTAAGTAACTCAACGTGTGGCTGGCATCGTGTCCAGGCTCCAGGTCCAAATCCAGCCAGCTTGCCTAGAGCTGAGCTTCAGCAATGCTATCACAGTGCAGGTCACTGTAATTTACTGCCACTGGCAGGCTCAGGGAGGGTCACTGCTCCCCAGGGCAACACTGCTGAGGGGCACGCAGAGCACGGGCTGGGAGGCAGCTCAGAGGGGGCTGCCATCCCTCACCTGCTGGGGGCTGTGCAGGGAAGCTGTGCCTCCAGGACACACACATCCAGAAGCACCAGGAGCCTGTTCTAAAGCCCTAACCTCAGTTTTACGAGCCAAACCGTACCTGTGCCATTGGTGCAGCTTCGGCAACAATGAGCACAAAGGTGTTCCCCACAGCCACCGTGAGCAGCCAGCCTGCCTGCAGCACCGACTTCATGCTGGCTGGAGACTGAAAAGAGGAGAAGGGCCTGATCAGTGGGTGTCATGCTGTGCCCTTCGGCGCTGGTTCACCCTGTGACGTCCTGCCCAGTGCAGGGGTCACTGGGCTCAGCCTGGGAGGAGGAGGTGGGATTTCCTCTGTGCAGAGTGGGTAATCTCTGTGGTTAATTTCAACAGCTGCATACAAGGAGCTTTCAAAACATGGACAGGAGGACACATGAAGAAGCAGGAGATGCTGTTGTTGCAGAGCCGAATCCTGGTCATCTCCAACCTGCATCATCTGAAAGGGTATGATCAGCAAGTCCAAGGAGCCACACAAGCCCTGCAGCTCGGAGTCTGGTGCCACGTGGCTGTACACCTTTGGAAAAGAGACTGGATCTTGATGTTAAACTTCCTGCTGATAACACATTATTCACACCCCATTATACATCACCCCACTGTATTAATCATCCTTATTAATAAACATCTACACTTTACTCCAAGGATAACTTTGAGCAGCTTCAACATTTTGATCTTGTAATGTTTCAGTCCTCTCTTCCCATAAACCTCCCCAAACAACAATCAAATCATCCCTTGCACACTTATTACCCTGTGCTCCCTTGTTACAGACTCATGTGGGTTTAGACCCCCTCAGTCTAAAGCAGATTCCAAGCCTCCATGCCACCTGTAGTTCTTGAGATACCTTTGACTTTTTATCACTGAAAAATATGTATCACAAAATATTTCACTGGGAGTAAACCCTGATACTACAGTATTCAGAGCTTTCACATTAAAAGAAACTTTTATCCTGTTCCATGTTCTCAGGATTACCAGATAAGGAGTTTTCCAAGTATCATTAAGAACAGGTATCTTCAGAATATGAATTAATTTAGCTTGAGGGCACCCAGCAAGATGTGTTATAATCCCACTTTCAGCTGAAGCACAGATAACATCGTTAGTAAGTGTCATGTCAGAGGACATACGACATGTCAATGATAGATGCAGGAATAAATCCTGAAGTCTATTTGTAAGCCCTTAATATCATTAAGTGGAATACCTGAGAATAGGAGAAGGCCAGCCCTGTAATGGAGAACATCACCTCCCCAGCAGATATTAATAAGTATTGTGGTAACTGCCAAGCCATATGGACATTGTTGGCTTTGATGTCTTCTGACTTCCATGTCTTAACAGCACCTCCAGAAATCTAGCAGGAAAATAAAGGCATACTGATTAGCTGCTGGAAGAGCAGATCTTTCTTAGCCTGGACAACAGTGGATTTACCAAAACAAAGTTTTAAGCAAAGGTGGAAGCAAAGCTCTGCCTTTGAAACAAAACTACAGGTCTGACCCCTGCCATTTCCAAGCCTGTTGGGAATGGGCTGACTCCTGCTGCACAAGGCAGAGAGAGCAGGATGGAAGCATTCCAGCTCATTCATGTGCCACAAGAATTCCCTGAGTTACTGCAAACCAACAAGTTGCCTTCTGTAGCTGGGCTGGGAAAAGCCCGTGTGGTACTTTGGTAGAGCCTGTGACCCACTGCTGTCACCAAGGCCAGGAAAGGATGAGAGGATAAGTACTCAGTGCAAGCACGTGGTCACTGCTCCCATTTTATCAGCTCTACCGTACAACTTCCCTACGGTAACAGTGACACCCAAACAAATTCAGCTCAGGAATGCCAAGAGTAGCAAAGCCTGCTCCATATCAGATGTGTTCAGATAGACAGGGCACTCCTAATTATTTTCGTTTGCTTTCCCAGGTGTAATTAACACTGCCTCTGAAGCACAGAGGCAGAGAGAGATTTGACTAGTAGCCAGAAAAACACTAGGTTGAAATGACTTCAGGCAGAAAGCCCTGTGTTTAAGGAGGGTACTTGGGAAAATATGAGGCGTGTTTACGAGATGTACTTAATCACCAATCATTGCCAGGGAGGCAAATCAAGAGCCTGTATTTTAGCAGGCTAAAAGGGGTGAGAGGAGAGCTGTGCATTGCTCTTTAGCCCATAAAGAAATGTCACAATGCACCACACTATAACTGCACACTGAGGAAGACTGGGTAGAAGGCAGCATCCCCATGATTTAAGTATCACAGTTCAGCTACATTAGCAGACTAATATATTGTATTCTTAGTTCTTCTATATGACTCTTCTGGCAGAGGAGCAAGGCTCAGTACAAATCACTGCAATAATTAAAAGTGATCTTGGCCTGGAGCAAACCAACTCTCTACAGAAGGCAGAAACCACAGAGAGAGAGGGTTAAAAAGATTAAAGGACTAGCACAGGGTTCAGAAGGGCTGAGGGGCTGAGGCCAGAGCCACCCTGAGCAGCCACGGCAGCAGCTTTTGCAGATGGGACCACAAACAGGAATCCTTGGCCACAGTGATGTGGGACACATCTGCCTCAGCTGGCCCTGACTCAGTTGTGTTACCAGAGGCTCTGGGGCAATTTTCTTAATATTTTCATGCAGCTTCTCTACTTGGTTTGTCATCTGGTGAAAGACGCTTGCAGCCATGGAAGAAGGGTCTGGCCAACATCACTTCAAGTGTGTGTGTGTTTTATGTACATAAATCTCTGCACTCACAGATGGTAGCATCTGGTTGTTCCCTCCAGGGCCCTACATCCCACTCCAGCTACTGGAATTAAAAAAAAGAACTGCCAGGTGCTTCACAGCTATATTTTTCCCCCTACGTATTTGGACTCTGCAGACATGAACAGCTCCCATTAATTGCCCAACAGGGAGATGTTACTGCCAGGGAGTAGCTGACAACACTTTGCTCTGCTCATCACAACACAGTAGTCAAAGCCTCAGAGGGCAGCTTAGCAGTGTGTCCTGTCAGACCTGGTTTGTCTGCGTGCCTGTGCAGCGGAAAGGTTAAAATAGGAACTAAGCTGAGCACGTTCATCTCCGTGGCTCCAGCCAGCTGGACCAGGTTGAAGCAGCGTGTCGAAGAGGCTGGCAGGCAGGGAAAGGAATCCACCCTCTCCGCAGTGCTCACACCCCATCAGGGCTAGGCTGTTCAGAAAACCATGCCTTGACTTTACACTAGGCTCCAAATGAGCTGTACTGACAGTGAGAGGAGCAAACACAGATGTAGAATCTCACCAACCTCCTCCCCCAACACTTTGTCCCTCTTCCCCCTATGCATAATCTACAAATCTTGGAAAAATCAGCCTTCAGTTCAGTAACTTTAATGGGGGAATAGAGCAGACTGTTTCTGCAGTTCTTCAGGTGTGAGGTACCACCAGGTACAATACTTTAAAACAAGCAGTCAGCTATTGGCAGATGGTAATAGCTCTTTGCAGTGTGCTGGGTCAACATTAACTGCTCAAGGATGGTGTGAGACCAGCACAAACCAGAGATTACATGATTTCCCATGGAGGATTTCTATCAAGGAAGAGATTTTACTTCTTTTTAACCCACGAGATCTGACATGATCCCAGTGTAAGCTGGAATGGATACACACCCATCTTGCTTACGTAGGTGCCAAAACCTTTTACTAGCCCTTGCATAGTGGACTGCTTTCAGATGGCTACTGCCCAGGTCTCAGAGTGGAGAAAGCAAGTAAGAGCCACCAGCACAAGAGCAATAGCCCAGCCAGAGACTAGAACAAGAGCACGTAACCATCACAGGAACACTTACATTAGTTATCACAATGGTGTATGAGGCACCAAAGTCGAGCAGCCCCAGCTCCAGGGGGAACTCTCCTGTTTCAGTTACACATTTTCCATTATTGTATCTAGATAAAAGGATAAAGAACAGTATTTCCCAGTTAGTTCCACAGAAAAAGAACACAGAGCAGAGCTATCAAACGTGCCCCTAAAATGGAGTAGGAAGGATGCAAGACGTAAAGATGCAGCAACGTTTGTGTCAGATGATCACTAGAGTTTTTGCCACCTTTTCCTTCCAGAAACACTTAGGCACTGACTGGAGATCACCTAATGATCTGGGCTATTGTTAACACTTCTAAATGGTTTCTGCTTCTTCTTAGTATTGATTTACTTTATTTTTCTTCCCTTCAGGTTTATTTTCCTTCCCAACTTTGCTCCACTCCTTCAGGAATTGTGGGCCAGAAAAGCAGTCTGCAGGAAAACAGAGATGTGCACCCAGAAGCCACTTTGTTTCCTTTCAATGGAGCAAATTAGCCCTCATATTTGTTCTTCTGATTTTGGATGTGTGAGATGGCACAGAGGCTCAGCAGCATTGCCACAATGGCTGCTGCATCCTACTAAATTGCAGCAATAAATATTTTGGATGGAGCTGATGCAGAGAAAAGCCATGAAGCTTGTTTTGAAACACTGGAAATGCTAGAAATACCCTACAAGAGCCAACTCCAATGCTGCCAAAGCAAGGCCATATGGAGCCCCTAACAAGCCCAGCCTGCAAAGCCATGTAATGCTACTTGATGTTACCAGCCCACATCCCAACACTTTGTAGTGTGGAGTATGAACTGGCCTTTCCCTGAGAGCACCCTAACACTATGAGCCTGTGCCTGAGAGCGTATAAAATAAAGCAGGACCCAAATGGCAGAGGGGACCTCACCACTTTCCACCTTACTCTGCTGACAGACGCACAGGAATGACCAGTCTCTTCCTTCCAGGTCCCCACATAATGTGAATAAAAGCCTCTGCACACACACAAGTGGCCTGGAGCACCTGCTCTGCATAGAGCTGGTAGTTCTGCTTTTTTACAAACATCTGCCCCCACAACCAAATGCCAAGACAGTGGCAATGAAGGTTTTGTTACTAGCCTGAGAAAAGCCTCACTGTATCCCAGGAAAGGCCTCAGCAAGGACCTTCAGCACAGCAAGGGAAACTTACATGTCCCTCTCCAGCAGCGAGTACTCAGAAGGGCTGTAGTCCTTCTGAACAGCAATGAACTTTCTGCTATCAATTGTGAGGTTGACATCTTGGCTCAAACCATTAATGAATCTGCAAAGAAACCATATTTCACTGAGCTGTCAGACAAGGCAGAAAAAACATCACAGCAGACACATTAGAAGTTTGCTCTCTCTCCTGAAGTGTACAAGTAATTCCACAAGGTTATGACAATTCTCTTCTGCAAGTTACCAAAATATTTGCCAAATTCATTGCCCAGTTTTTCAATATAAGTTTCCCTGTTGTGTAATTTTACTCTCCTTATCTCCTGTGGAAGGGATTTTTTTTTTAATACATAAAAGACAGTTTCCTTCTGACAACTCAAAAATTGTTGGCAAAAACCAAATGCTTTTCATTTGATCTATGTTTTAAAATATTTCAGTTTTCAGTTCCTCAAATGGGGGTGTAATCCCTGAAGACAGTCATGTGCTTAATGAAAAAAAACTTTTCAGTGGAAAAATAGTTTCTCCCTCCTCTTTACAAGTTGCTAAAGGCAAAGTCTGGGGATTTTGTCAAAAATGTCCACAAGAAAATGTAAAACATTCCTGACTGCAGGTATTAATCAAATGGTGTTTAGTCAGTAGAAGTCTTCACAAGCACAGGGCTAGGAAGAGATACTGCTCTCCTGCTTTGTCAACACACGCTTTCAGATAAAGGCGTTGGACATTGTTTTTTAGGTTTGTTTTATCTGGTTGTTTTGTAGTTTTGCTTTTGTGGTAAGTTTTTTTGGGGGAGGGGTTTTGCTTTGGTTCTCTTTTTGTTTTTTTTCTTTAATTTCAGCTTGCCCAAATCCTCCAGCTGGATTTTTTTTTCTTTTTTTTTTTTTTCAAATTTGCTTCTTCTGCATGTTAATAACTGGCATAAGCCAGCACAGGAACATTCATGGACTACATGGACTTGTTCAAATTAGGAAAATAGACTAGCTGCTTGAGTGGAGCCCAGTGCCCAGCTGAACTGCTTACAAGGATGTAAAACTGTTGTATCCAATTTAGTAGGCATTTGGGCATAAGGCTGAATGAGAACATCATGGGTTGGCCAGTTTGCAGAGGACATGGCAACAACTCCTATCTAAACAGCTTCTTCCCTTTCTTTCCCAAAGAGCTGGGACAAAGTGAGATGAATTTGGCACTTTTCCAGGGGAGGAGATCTTCTATGTTGCCATCTCAGCCCAGACTATCCTAGGCAGGAAGCAGCAATGATGCTCAGCTCTGCATGGCATGTGTGGGAGGTGACACTCTGTCAAGCTTCCACAGATGACAGCCGAGTCTTGCATGAGAAGTGTGGACTCGATTCCAACCCAAGAACATCTGGGTCATGTTACAGACAGCCTGTATTAGACAAAAGCACTTTCCCTCTCCCGACCACCTCCAAATCCTCAAAAAAATCCATTCCTACCTAACAGCTGCCAAACCATTTTCTGGCTTTGCTTCCAAGTCTGTAATCTAGAGAGGGGAAGAAAAAAAACCATCAAACATATTTATTAATGCTTCCTTTCAACAATGTGGGGCAGAAAGCACTTAGTGCTGTGGAGTTACACATGTGCTGCAAAGCCTGTGGAAAGCGACTGGACTCTCACATAAGCTTTACATCAGGCCACAGATGGGAAGTCCTGATATACAATGAAGCCAGTGGCAAAGTTTCATCTCCACCAAGATGAGATCATGGCTTTTCTTCTCATCTCATCTCCTCTGTAACCAAGGCTGCAGAGTTTCAGCCAGTCACCCTTCCACTGAGGCATGTAACACCCTCCAAAAAAGTATTTGTCTGGATCTGGAGACAGCAAGAGAGCATAATCCACATTACCATCTTTCAGTCATTAGTTACAAGTAAACTTGAGTGCCTTACTCCTACAAAACCTGCAACTTGTCCAGCTCTCAGACCCTCCTTCTTGTCATATTCATAGACTTCACAGAAGTCTAAAGACAAAAAGAACTGCTAGGTTACTATACTGATCATCATGTACCACTCATATTTTCCCTGACCCTAAATACTCAAGAGATTAAACTGCTGTATGGTGCCAGCAGAGAGAAGGAGAGACCACAATGCACCGACCTTGCTTGTGTTCACAGCCTCTGCAGACAAATCCCTGAAGTGGCCACCTGGATGGGCACACTGGGGAATGAGCATGCCTCTCCTGGAGATCACAGCTAGAGCAGCAGCTTAATAGTTAACATGGACAACATTCCTTCAAAGAAAGCCTGTTTGGTTGTACAATGCTGAAAAAACACAGTAAAGACACAGCCCTGCCCTGCAGGTTGTATGTCACACAAAAAGAATACAAAGCAAGGCTGTTAGTTGGTAGAAATCCAAAGTTGTGCCGTGTCCATTTAATCTGGCAGGGCAATTTCAATTTGTGCTGCCCACAGATGGAACTCTGGCAAGCCAAAAGAGACTGATTCTACCTTCAGAAACTGGCTTTCTCTAAAAATTTTCTGGCCCTTTCTCCACACTTTTGTCCTGATGCTAAACCCTGAGCTTCTGAGACCAAGGATCCAGAATTTCAGTATACCTATAAAACATCTAGTGTACTTAGTGTGATATGCTACCCACAAATAACATATGCCCTAAATAATAAATAACCACAGTGAATAATAAATGTCAGAGTAATAAATAATAAACAGCAACATCTTTTTTTTTTTTTCTGTGGGAGACACATGGGGATGAACACTCTAATTCATTGCAGACAGGCAAGCCAAATTATTACTCGCTTTCATTGATGATCCCCAGAGCTCTCAAATTCATTTCCTGCCTACTCAACAGCCCACAAAGGAGAAGAAACCAATTTCAGATTGGATCCTTCCAGGAAAGCAATCCCACCTGAGTGAGTGGGCCAAGCCCAGCAGCGTGGGAGGTTACTCCAGGGCAATGCCAGCAACACAGGAGTGATGCTGGCATTGCCTTCCTCGTGTTGCAATACTGGAAAAATGACTATCATTTACCATGCTGTCTTCCACATCTCCCTGATCTACAGCTGTGAATGACAGGTCAATAGCATCCCCAACAGCACTGCTGTTTCCCAGCACATGGGAGCCTCCCCATGCCAGGGTGGGCACTAATTTAAGCACAGGCTGCATAGCTAGGGCAGCGTGGATGTATTGAAGCTCAGAGATTGCTTTGCTTCAGCCTGTCACAGGCTTTTGCTTCTTAAGGACTGTTTGAAAATCACTGTACAAGTATCCATTTCTTAAGGCAACAGCACTCAGTCATCAAGGTCACAGGGAAACTTAACAACATTGTGTGATAATGAGCTGTAGGCTCCAAACCATAAAGGCAGCAAAAAACCTCAATGTTATGACAAAATAAATTCTTAAAACTCATTTTTAAAAACAGTTACGTGATTTCTACTATACAATATTGAACGTTTCATGTGGCAACCCTGAAATGTAGGAGGCTGAGGAACTGCAAAGAGAACGGATATTTTAGCATGAGGAGAGATTCTGATGGCATTTACACACCTGCCACAGTGTGCAATAACACCATTCATTTCAAGGGAGCTTCTTAGGATACAGCTACACGTAAAAGACATCAGAATCTGCCCTATACGTCCCAATATGCTCTTCTCTGATTGTTGCAGCAATACACAAAAGTTCAAATGCAGACGGCTCTGCTGCAGAGCCTGAAATGAGCTTAATCATTTATTCTGTTCAGCAAAACAAATGGGCCTTCTGTGTATTTTCACTAAACACTTGCAATAACTAAACCAGGAATCATTCCTCTGATGCTTTTATTCCAGGGCCAGCCCTAGAGCCTCTTTAATATCTTTGCTTTATAAAACCATCTTTGGGGGGAAATCTCTGGCTCTCTGCTTCCCCAGCTTTCTCAAGCTCTGCTGCCTAGCAGGCATGACTCTGCTCTCCCACTGCAACATTCAGTGGATTAAAGTGTTCCCAGAAACTCTCAGATGCCACAACGCCTCTATTAATCAACCAGCAGAAGTGTGTACAGATCCAGTGCTGCTAGCTAAGAAGTCAGGTTTAGAGCATCTGAGAGCAACCAGACAGACATTGCAACTGAGCAAATGAATTAATGAGCCTATAACCCCATTGCAGCATCACAGCCAATGAATTAATACAGTATTTACACTTCACTCCCACACTCACTAAGCGGCTTGATAGGCTTCCTTCTGCCTCAAAAACAATTAAGCTGTATACTGATTTTTCCTTCACGGTGTAGTTAAAAGCAAGAGTCAATCCTTGATGCTGCAGGGTGAAGCGAAGACTCTGTTGTTCTCCATTCAATATTAATTTTGAGTACTCAGCTGGGTTCTGTGGAAGAGAACAAACTCGGTTACACTTTCTTCAGATGAGAAAGGATCTGTCTTTTCCTGCTAAGTGCAACACTGTCCTCTCTTCAAAGGAGTCTGTAACCCTGTTATCCTTTGTTACTAATTACAGGTGAATGTAAGGTGTTCCCTTTGCCACAGAAATATACATCCAAATGTTCAATTTCTGTCTCATATAACAGAGATAATATGTTCCATTTGTAAAGCTATTCCCACACACTTATAAGGCAATGGAGGAGGACAAGCTTTTGTATCCATTGGCTTTATTAGAAAATTCCTAAAAAAGAAGCCCATCCTTTCTTCAGCGGGATGCAAGTCAGGCCTTCCAACCCCAAATATATGTTTACCTGAAAAGCCTCCACAGGTTGCTGAAATAGGTCCTTGTCCTGGATTGTCACTTGAACAGGGTTCTTTGCCAAATTCAGGACCCGAATTAAACTTTCTTCTGGGACAAGTCGAGGCATATCTGTTTCCTAATTAAAGTAAAAGGCTTTAAGTGCCATCTGTATGCTTTATTAGCACTTTAATATCTCTTCATTTTTAGCCATAATAGTCTTCCTCTCTGTAATGACACTTTTCCATCCCTTCCTCATCAGAAGTTGCACTCAGAGAAAAGTGAACATAAATCTTATTTAGGGAGGTTTCCTCATAGTAGCTCAATGGCTAACCCATCACTCCTCCCAAAAATTCTCCTTACACCCCTAAGCATACAGTCTACACACCTACTGAGCAGGTAGAATAATGTCACAGCTTTCATTATACAGCTCCCTAGTGCCTGGATTTAACCAACTGCCATATCAGAACAGAAAAAATTGTGCTGAGCTTTCAAAAGCAGTGACCAGAATAATTATTTCCCACTGCAGTCAGTGACTGGGAAAAGAATCAGACCAGAAGCTAAGCATTTTTGAAAATCCCAGTCCAGCTCCATGCCTGTAATTGGTGCTCTTGCATTACTTGATACCATGCTATCTAAATGCCGACTGTATAGATCTTATTCCCTGTTTTCTGAGAAAGGGAAGATGATGCCTCCAGCACAGAGGTATCTCTTTCTGTCAGGAATCATTTCCTAGAAAGAGTACATCAATCAGTGTCAGCCTTGTACTACCTGCAGAGCTAATTTTTTTTTTAAACTCCCGTTTTCTTCTCACTTTATTTTCAAGTAGCTGCCAGCAATACGGCAGAGCTATTCATTTTTTCTCTATCTTATCTGATAATTTTGGTATTGCAGGCAGTGCATTTTGAACCTAACTCGGTGGGGACACACACCACCATAGAAGACAGAGAGAGCTGATTTCCCTGTATCCATATGCTGCTCCAGACCAACCGGTCTGTTAATGTTACAGCAAATTCAGTTACTGTGGCTTTTTGCTTCTGCAACCCACATCCAAGTGAAGGTGGGACATCTTATCCTCTAGAGCTTATAGGGTAAAATTTTAGCCTTCAGGATAAAATTTTCACGCACAGGCAGGAGAGAGCCTCTAACTCACCTTGCCTCTGTCCAGAGGAGTCACCCACAGCCAGAGCTGCTGTTGGTGGCAATGACAGCATTTCTTTGTTCACATAAAAAGATCAGAAAAAAGACCTAAACCCACAGTCTCATTTCAGTGGGAGACTCGTTAGCAGATTCACCTGAGGAACCAGCAGATGTTAATCTGGCTGTGCGCCAGCCACTCTAACAGAACATTTTAAGCATACATGAAAGCTTTAAAAATTAATCCTATAGTAACTTCCATGAGACAAAGGTCAACCAGAGTCTGCACAATGCTGGTCTTGGGCCAGAAACAAACAGCAAATCTGCAGGAGCTAACATGGAATTTACAAGAGATTTGCTGCCATCCTGTCTGGGGATGCCCAGCAGTCCCTAATGCCTCTGACTGCATTCACCTGCCTCGCTGGAGAAACAATCTGGCTTGTAAAAATACACATCCCCACCCTAAAGTAGCAAAGAAATTAAATTCAAAACCAAAACCACCACACACACACAAAAGACCCCAAACAGAAAAATATAGGCAAGGTACAGCAAGAAATAGGAGAGAGAACAGACTACCTTTTGGGAATTAATCACTAGCATTAACTAGATGTCTGTCAAGCACTTTGACGACGGAAATCTAGAATATAGACCAATACAGATGACCAGCACAGCAAAACTGCAAGACTAGAAAGAAAGACACAGAGACAGAGAAAAAGAGAGGGAAAAGTAGACAAGGTAAGAATTATCATTAGCAACTGGATTGGTATGCTCAATTGTAAAGAAAACATTACAAATTATGATCAAGGAACACAATGGTTAAAAGGATTACCTAACGGATATCAATAAAAACACGCCAGGGAAAGAAAGTGTTTCTCAGGAATCCTTTCTGCTTTACTTACATTTATTTTGATTTCTATAACAGCTGCAAGTCCAAACGCCAGCCCTGCAAGGATCATACCTGTTGCCATTTTCCTAATTGGTCTATGGAGCAAATGAAAGAGGTACATTAAGGAAAAAAAAGTAATTTAAACTACAGAACACCATTCCTCAGAGCCCAAGATGTGCCAAAACCATGTAATAAACTGTCCAACAGGTGGCACTGGGGATGACAGGCTGTTTAAATTGCCAATCATTTAACTTAAAACTATCTTATTATTCTGTATGAGGCCAGCACTGAGGCCAATTAAAACTGATACGCCATGAAAAAAATCTCCTTCCTTGCAAGTTTCATACTATCTTTTTCCCAGCTCTTCTAGTGGGAATAGCTCATGGCATTATGCTAATCTGTGATATTGGAAGGAGCACTAGAAATGATGTATCTTCAAGTCCCTTTTGGGAAAGGCAAAAGTAGCATGCTACTTAGCAGTGGGAATGAGGAGCAGAAAAATGTGTAGTTTGTGTCATCAATGTTTCTGACCATCTGGGGCATCATTCTGGGTTATTTCTCATGCCAATACATTTACATTTCTAGAAAATAAAGAGCTTGCTTCTAAACTCAAGGCAAAACTAGTGCAACTCTCCCAGAGTTACATGAGACAATCTGATAAAAAGCAGAATAAAAGAGGTCCAGAACAGCATGTCCAAACTAAGTATTGAACTGTAGAGATTTGAAACAAATCTCTAGTAAATTCTGTGGTCTCCACTCTTTGTAATGGTCTTTAGTCCTGGTATTCAGTCCTGATCGGTGCTTGAGTTTGTGCTGCTGGGTGAACTACTCTGTGAATTGGTTGCCAGGACAGAAAGTTTCCTGCCAAGTCAGGGCACAGTCCAGACCATGGGCTCACACTGAGGCAGCAGGGAGATGCACAGTCTTTGAGCTGCATCCTCCAAAAGGCACCACTGCTGGGCTAGACATTGTCTTGGATACGTCTTGAGGTGCAAGTAATTCAGCATGATGGGAAGGAATCAGCAGGGTGAAGGAATAGGCTTCCTGAGGTTCCTTCCTGAGGCTCCTTCCATCCCCATTTTATGTGGATTTGCCTGTCCAGCATTTTAGTTTGGATTAGGAACACACTTTTTAAGCCAATCTCCCCACTCTTCATCCCTTCCCACATTGTGGTGCTGGAGCATGGAAAATCGGTTCCTTTCAGCTGAAACCGCACTGGCAAAGGCACTCCATGAATGTGCATAAACATACTCCCAGTGCTACAGGGCATCAGTCCACAGAGGCAGAATAGAGATACACAGAAGCAATATCACCTAAAATGCACAAAGTGGGTCTCAGAAACAACCTGGAGGTCTGCTCCTACTACATTGCCTTTGTTGGTAACACAGACTAGGGATAAAGTGCTTGTGTCATATCAAAATCTCTTTTATGCACTCACTGATTCAGATTTTAGTATGGAATCTGCTTTCACAACACCACATGCAGCCCACATGGGGACCAGGAATTTGGCTCCACAGGAACCTTTCAGGGAGGGAATTATTCAGGCATGATATAGGAAACAAGGTGACGAACATGTTGAACAAATTCAACATGAGACTACTCATATCTGCTTTTGGGGAAAATCTGTACAGAGCAGAATCCAACATCACAGAGCTTTCCCCTCTGGAATTTCCAGGATCTATGGAAGAGGGTGATGCTGCCTCTTGGGGTTGAAGTAGAACCAAGTACTGGGAAGGGTGAATGGAAATTTGTGTTCTTCCTCCTTAAAAGCTATTCTGCACACTTGCTGCAAAAGAAAAAGCACTGAGGCACCTGCATTGTCCCCAAGTACTTACGTGAAATTAAATTTGCACATGTCTATCAGAGGGTAGAGCCCAAGGTCAAAAATTGGGATGAAGACAAGAATAAGAAGTGGATTTAAGAACTGCAATACAAAAGAATGGGAGTTTAGTGACTAGAAAGCAACTTTCAGTAATTAAACCCATAAAGCAATGTCCTCCAGAAATAATTCCATTACAGAAAGGACATGGACAAACACTTAAAAACCTCCTTTTAAAATATAATCATAGTTTGCACTTAACAGCTTCTGCTATTTAGTTTTCACAGGCATGAATACATTTTGTTCATATCCTCCCCTCTAAGAGGTAAGCAAGCATCATTGGCCCAGTTTCCCTGGAGAGAGAACTGAAGCACAATGTTTTTAAAGAGTACAAACCCCACAGACAATAGAGACAGGTGACCTTCAGTGCTGTGGTGGGACCTTACAACAAATCAGCAACAATGGAAACATCTTGGGACTCCAGCGAAATCCCAAAGGAACAGGCACTATTCTGTAAGATTGGCAATTTCTCGCACTTCCACACGTCTTGGTAATCCCCCAGGAACAAAACTTCTCCTGGGAAGAGCACAGCTTGTCTGCCTGCCAGCAGTGGCAGCGCAAGAAAATAGAGAGTGATGGAGAACAAGCAGAGAGAAATGTTGTTTCAGTTCCGAAGGAAGATTTCGGGGAACAGAACAGCTTTAAATTTCTCCAGAGCTGTTCAGCGTAAGAATTGTAATCAACTGTGACAACACAGCACCATCTTGGAGCTTTCACATTTTCATCTGCCTTGCAGAAGGGGAGGAAGCAACATATTTCAGGAACAATGCTCATCCCACCACAGGGGCCTGTTAGAAGGAAACACAGCTTGTATCCTCCACAAGTCAGCACTAGTTCAAGAACTATTATGGTGGCAGAGGTTTCCCTATACCTCTGCACTATTCTGCAGGATTCAACCTCTGTGTTAGGACATCTTTGGGGGCTTCTGAATGCCAAGATGAAGCCTAAAATCAGCTAGAGAACACTAAGGCAAAGTCTGCACCACAGCAACCAGCAGGAGCACTGCTACTGCCTTCAAAAGGAGCAGAGAAAGGCCACTGGTCCCATGAGAAAAATAAAAATGAGAGAGAAAAAGAAAATACATTCTAAGGGTTTATTTCCTACCCTGTAATATCTTTTACCTGCATTTGGTCAGGCTGAAGGACATATATTCCCTGAAAAAAAAGATATTGCAAATGATTCATAAACACTATAATATATCAGTGCAAATGGCAAATAAGCAACCAGTCCCGTAGAGGCCTTAGCAGCCAAGATGCTTCCTCAAATGCTTTATGTTGCCTTTAGCAGCTGATACTGTGCTCTTGACACTTGTCATCTAAGGACACAGTGTTTATTAAGATCATTTTGCAGAAGGAAGATACACTCAATCCTTGATATTTGGCATCCATCATACAACCCATGACAGGTACTGAGGCTCATCTTTCAGACTGGCTGAGCCATGAACTAGGCGAGTGGAGAAGGATGGGTGTGTTAGTGTCCAAGCTGGGATCTGGGCTTAGAGCTTCTTTCCTTCCTGCTTCTATAATGGGAAAAGCCTAAATCCTACAAGTGAGTGCTCCCAAGATTCAGGACCCTGTGAGCTCCGTAGGCATTTCTCCCAAGCCCCCAAAAGGATAACGAAAGACCATCCCTGGCCTGCACAAACACCTCTTTCCTCCTTCCATCTGCACCTAACAGGCTTTGGTCAACCAGGACTTCTTGGTTTGAGCCAAGAGTCCTCGAGGCTATAAAAGGTGCCTCACACCTTGCATCACTATATAGATGACCTGTCTCCAGGGAGGGACTGGTGTTTGAACTCCACAAAATGCTCTTCATTTGAAATTAAGATGAAGAGAAGGGGAGGCAAGGGAAGGGGAGGAAAGAAATCAGAAAGGAAATAATATCTTCCCAAGGAAGTGCTGTGGGGGTTTGTCTCCCGTCTACCAGGCTTGTCCTGAGCTGAGCCTAGAATGGCTGCCAGTCTCTGCCTGCAGCTGCCTCCTGGGAGAGTGGAAACTGCTGGTCACAGCAATGGAGTCAATTAAAAATATCAGGCAGATACCCCCTCTTGCTACTTTGTGCCCACTATAGAAATGTGCCATTAGGAAACAAACCTGCGAGTATTTCATCTGACACTAAATCATTCCCTGTTTGACTGCAGACTTCCTAGCTGAGCCTCTGTCTGCAGAACAGAAAGTCATAGAGTATTACAAACACAAACTCCAACAAGCCTAAGGGTGGGATCCTCCCAGTGTTGAAGTTAATTCTCACCTTCTTGAGTTGGGACAACTCATGAGGGAAGAGTGGATGAGACTGAAACAAAAGCCAAAAAACTATCCAAGTTGGTGTGAGAAAGAAAAGCCCTGAATTTGTCCTTCTCCAGCCAGGAGAGTTTAAGAGTGACATCTGGTGATTCTTAGCTCTCCTGCCGATGGATCACTAAGTGCATGTGAGCAAAACAGCAGAAATAAAAGGTTTTAGATATACATCATGAAGACTGCATGGACTTACATGGTTTTGTCTTTCTGAGGTGGATAAATATTATCCAAGGTGTAGTCTTTTTCATGCCTCATTTGAACTAATTAAGTGTATTGAATATCACATGTTCAGAGCCCAATTTTTAACAAGAGTGACCTAGAAGGTCCCAAATTTGGGGCTTTAAGTCAATTTTAAACTGGAAAATGGTCGTTTACAATCCTGGATTCTGACGTGGGCATCCACAGGTAAGATCTAGATTGCCTGTTAAAACATATATGTCTGAAAACTAGCCCTGTATGGTGGCATCTTTGGGCAGACAGCTGATCTACATTTACCTGAGACTGCAGTCTGCACCTTTTGCCATTCACACCTCTGAAGAACTACCTAATTAATCCTCATCACATCCCTAGCCTGTACACAAGACTCTTCCTGGTTTTGAGAGGCTTCATTAATGTATCACCAAGTAAGCCAGAGCAGAAATACACGACTTCATACACCAGCTCTAGTTACACCTTAAAAGGGCTGTGTGGCTTCTCTGCCTTCAGTGGGGGCAGCAGGCTGAAAATGCCACCTGCTCTAGGCCACAGAGTGCCTGGCTGCCCGAAGGTCAGCACTCCTGACCTGCTGATGGGTCCCCAGCCCTCGCTCCTTGCACAGAAGAGCTGTGAGGAACCGAACACGGCTGCACAGAGCCTCTCGCTTCGAATCACCAAAAGTGAAACTCACCCAGATTCACCAAGCAGACGCTCTTAGTACTGCAAGGCTCCGGTTAAAAAGCAAGAGAAGTGATGTTACTACTAGTCTTACCAGCCCTGGTGACATTTAGTACTTACAAAATCAGCATTCATTTTTGTGGCTTGCAAAGTCCACCTGGATCCCTAAGGAGAAAAGAGACAGCTGTGAAGCCTTCAAAATGTCCTATGGGACTAAAAAACATGGGGACAGAGAAGATGACAGCACTGGGGGTCTTATTTCCCATCTGTTCTTTCCCTCCCCTGTAACACCTGTCAGTAGGCAGGGCACATTCTCCCTTCTCACCCTCCTGTGCCAGACACCTGGCAGGACTGTGAAGGGATGGCCAGCAGTGATGGTGGAAGCCCCTGTAGGAGCCTGGCCCTCGGTGTCCCCAGGATGCTTTGGTGTTACCCTGGAAGGACAGAGGTGCAAACCCAGCCTGGAGGGCAGACCCGTACACGCTGTACCGTACCTGCTGATCAAACAGGGCCCAGAACATTGGCAGTGGTATGAAGAGGAAGAGAACACGTGTCACCATTTTAACCTCCCCAATCAGCTGTTTCTAAAAAGGGAACAGGCAAAAAGGTAAGGTGGGGGTGTAAAGCCAACAGGTGATTCAAGCCATTAAGCATGAGAACTCCTATTTCTTCCTGCACGGCAGTTCTTCATGGCACTTACTCATGATACTGGACATGTTTGCTCTTCTACAATTCAGTGCAACACCTAAACCGTCCATCGAGGGTCAGGAGAGTACAGATGTGGGAAGAGACAGGAAAATTTGTGCCCAGAGTACTGTCTCCCCTGTCTGTCTGCCCATCTGCCCCCTTCCCCCTCCAAACCTGCCAGGTAGACCATTGCTTACCGAGTATTTTTCTGACGCCCAGTCCAGCCAGTGATCCCTCTTTGGAATCTCACGGGAACGGTTTTTCAGCCGGTTTTTAATAGCAAACTAGGGAGAAAAACAGGTGAGTAACTCACTTGTGCCGTACCTGCCCTTGTCACATTCCCAATTCAAGGCTGCTTTCCTCATCCCCAAATGTAAGCAGTGCCAGAAAATTGCAGGGGGTTTTGCTGAATATTTCCAAAACCTCAGATTGGATGGTTTATGACGAATTCTCTGCAGGGAAGTTTCTGTGACACTGGTTGATTAAAGGTATGATGTGGAAATGAATCACAGAATATCCTGAGTTAGAAAGGACCCACAAGGATCATCAAAGTCCAACTCCTAGCCTGTTTATGCTGTGTGCTCCAGTCAGTGGACACACTGAACACAGCCACCCTGGTAAAAAGAGTGGCAGACCTCACTTAGAAATCCTGTCTTTAAGATCTCGCCTGTTTCCCCAAGGTAAATCTGGCACTAGGGTTGACCTAGATAAAAAGAAAACATCTGCTGTTAGCAACAGCTTCCTGAAATAGAAACATCATTATCCACCTAATAATAAGAGAGTATTTTTTCACATACTGTATTCAGCTCACACACTATGAAAAACAATTCATAAAGCTGTAATGCAACTTCAGCAGGTGTCTCTTGCATTTACATGAACATGCTGAATGTGCACAATATGAATGTGTGCTATTACTCTCTGCTGAACTGATAGACTTCAGTAAAATTATTTAGCTGAAAAAAATGCAGTCAGATATCTGATACTCTGTAAGTTTCTGAATTTTCCTTTCAGCTCAATCTCCACCAGTATCTGCCAAAAGTGGTTCTACTGAGGTCAACTGAACAGTTTATGGAGCTAAGGAGAAACAATTCAAGTGCTGAAAGAATGAACTAGGACGTAAATGTGTTTCTTATTCCTTACAGCTCAGCAGCGAGATATCCAGAAGCAGCATACAGAACTCCAAAAGTCACCTCCCCTTCACTTTTGCGCTTTCCTGTCCTGCAACCTCAGAGTCATGCATGAAAAAGAGAATGGCACACACTTACACCGATGCATTTGCACACTTCCAGTAAGACGTTCCCTTGTGGTGGTGTTTTTCTGTACAGTCCACTTCCAGCAATGAACACAACTGAAAAAATATTATAATCCAAATGGGAATTCACATGGCTGAAGCTCAATCCTGCACTGGCTTCTGGGAAGGATCCCCCACCCCCATATTTAACAGAAACACTCTGCCCTTGGGGCTTACAGGGTTGCACTTTTAACTGAATAAATATACAGGAATCCTTTAATGCCTTCCGATGGAAGAAAATGCAACATCCCACAAGAGGCAGCGATCCCTAGGAAGTCACTATCATCTTCTCATAGGCACCTCCACATCTGATTCATGCCGGGAATAAAACTTCGAAAATTCACTCCATATGTGTGCCTTGTGTAGACTAAACTTAAAATACAATCCACACTGAATGGCTGCACCTGATGTTGGAAATCAGCCCTTAAGAGTGTGAGGATTAATCCAGATACAACATGGGCTCTGTGTCCTTGCACCTCACACACATTTCAACAGCAACTGCCACGAAGTTCACTGCATCACATACAGGTGTTAACAGAAACTACCTCTATTTATGGTTTCCACAAAGGGTTATACAATTTAAGATGCTGTTTTGTCTTGGTTTCCTTCCTCAAAGCACAAAGAATATCACACCGAGACTTCAAAATCCTGTCAGAGATGGAGCTACCTGATTATGTATCATTTATCCTGCTCTGTGAGAGCCTCTGAGCACATTACAATTCCAAAGACACTAGTAGGGAGAAGCACAGTATAAGCTAAGCGGGTAATCCATATTGTAAACCAACCTCAACTTTTTAAACTAACCCAATTGTCTGGTCAGTCCACAGCCCATGGACAACAGCAGGTACCTCTGCTGCAACACGGGAGGCCTGGGACTCTGCAGGGAGCTCACCTTTTCTGACTATGAAGACCTTTAGCACCCAGGTTTGACTTGCAGACCTCTGAGGTCAGTTTAGATGAGCTGCACTTTGCACTTGTGCAAAGTCACCCAGAGGGGTAGCTCCACTACCTAATTTTTTAGCATCTCCCTGTGAAGCTGTTGGTGCCTCTACAAGGTGATTCATTAGGTTTGCCAAAATACCTTCTGGCAATGCCACTGCCTACTGTTGGGAGCTGAGGTTCCTGAATTAGGTTTGGCATTTGGAATTAAATAGTATCAATCTACCCCATCATTCAGAAACAGAAGCAGCACAGAAAATCTTGCTCTGTAGGAATTTCATTCTGCCTCTTTATCTATCCTTGATTTCCATCATCATGGGGAGAGGGCCAGTCAGGGCCAAAACAGTATTTCATCCAGTTCTGCATGCTGCTAACGTATTCAAATATATCACTTTCCAGAGCATTTTAGGATGTTCCAGAAGAACACAGAGCTGCTTTGCTGGGCAGGCCATGGAATCTGGCAGCAGGACACTAGCTAAAAACACATTTCGATTGATACCCTCATGGAAACTGCAATATTTACACGTTCGTTTTCTCCCGGGCAACTACTACTCTGCTAGAAACATTCATCACACAGTGGTGCACAGAGGAGCCTGTGCTGCCTTAAACTGATAGGAACAGGTCACAGAGGAAAAACTGAAGTTTCTCAGGCCTGTGACCATGCACTTTTTGAAAATAACTTCTGTAACATTAGCTGTGGCCTGATGACATTTCTTCCGTTTACTGACTCCTCTCCCTGACAGAAATCTGAGTGGAGACAGCAACATTCACGTTCTCTGAGGGATGAGCTTTTCAAATCACAGATGCTGTGGTGAAATCACACAATTGCTTGGTCTCTCGGTGAAGCTAACAACATGAATGAGAAGTCACCCCATGCTGTGCCAAAACCTCACAAATGCAGCGTAATAAGGGGACTGCTCTCCAGCATCTTGCAGATGTGAAACTAAAGCCAATGGGGTGTCCTCTGTAATGGCTATCAAGCAGTAACAGTAAGAATGTCGAGATTGCTGTGTATTTTATAAGGGTTGAAGAAGAAATTTTGACAAGTACATTAATGGGGCTAAGATGCAAGCTTTAGGAAGCAGGGGGATTGTGGCTGCCTCCTAACACTTGGACAATAAGGACTTTTTATCGTAACATAATAATAAGTTGTCACTGTAATAGTGGGAATTACTTCAGCCAAGCAAAGTGAGACAGCTCAGAACAAAGTAACATCTCGTTCAGCTCCTTCTGCAATTCCTGTGGCACACTGATTCAGCAGCAAAAGTCTGAGACATTAAAGGTGGTCCAGAGCTGCAAAGAGCCTGTGGAAAGGTTAGAAGCAGCATGTTAAGCTTCTCTTCTATAAGCTGGGGGACTCTGAGGACTGCTCAGATTGCAGTTCAAAGGCCAAGCCTGCTCATAGGCAAAGCTGCAAGCCATGAGGGGAATAATTTTGGTGCCTCCCTTTGAATTAGAGTGAAGCAACTGTATTGTGAAACATCCACCAGACCATCCCCTTAACAGTATCATGATAAAGTATTGCAGTAAAGCCATGGTCTGCCCACTGTCAGTGAACTACTGATTTTTCTTGCTGTTATGAGCTGTGGAATTGTTGGGTGACCTTGAAACCTTGCATTTCCCCTTGCAGAATTAGTGAATTTGTGCATTTTCTCATCTATCCATGGACTCAGAATGGTAACTTCTATTACAAGCATTATGGTTTCCACTCACCAAGCGCCAACACCATCAGTGCTGCTGGGACACCAAAAGCCAGTGCATAACAATCCTCTCCAAAACATTTCACATCCCCTGAAAAAGAAGTCAGAAATAAAAGCACCTCATTACAGTCAGACTTATGGTACTGGGACTTTTGATTTGTTTCCCTAAATCAGTTACTTCCCCTGGTTTTAAATCTTCTTTGCTGGTGCTTGACACTGTGAATTGAATCTCCTTGAAACAGTAGTCCTCCCTTGATGAAGACAATTTTTAAGCAGGGTTAAAGTCTGGCAGCAAAAGCAGCTGATAATTGGATATTGATGCAAATGGTAGAAGAGAGGGGGCAGATAAATAGGTATAAAGAAGTACTAGGAACTGCACTTGGGGAAAAAAGCAACATTTAAAATAACCTGAAGCCACTCTGTATTTGCCTAGATCCGAAGAACCAGTACTGTGTTTCCACATTACTTGTGCCAGCTGCATGAGTTGTTGAGTGAAAAACCTGAATCTGATTTCATAGCGACCTGCAGTGGACAGAGTGGAAGCCAATACCCGTAACTGTGTAAGTGGGAGTACAGGATTAGTCTTGGAACTCCAGTTCCCTTTCCTGCCACCTTTCCAATCTCACTAGGGGCAGCCTGCTCCAAATCTCAGGTCTTGCAGCAACCCATCAGGAAGCCAGGTGTGCTGTAGCACGGGTTTGAGCAATCTGAGCTAAGGTTCACTGAAACCCTGCTGCTCTCGGACCAGTTCCGTTCTCACACCCTGTGAATTTACAGCTCCAGTTGCAACCACCAAACCAGCAGCGGGATCTGTGTTTCTACACCAATGGCTACAAATTACTGCATTCCTACAAGAAGTAATAATAAAATGGCTAAAATAAGCCAACACAGTTAACAGGAGACCAGTTGCTCCTGTTTGTTGTAGCTGGGCAGCCACAGTCAGCTGCACAGCTGTGTGCACGCAGAACATTTATTTACCTATTTTCAGCCAATTCGCTGAAATCCAATAAAGCTTGGAGAGACGTTATGGGCACACTAAACTTCTCACATGCTAAATGAGCTGGACTTCTCCAGCTAGAAGTATATATTTCACATTTCTGCCAAACGCCTACAAACAGCATTTCCTGCCCTTCCAAGAAAAGCTTTCAGACTTAGCAAAAATTTTACTCTTCCCCTATCCTCTCCACCTCAGCTCCATGCTGCAACTAGTTTATAGCTGGGCTATAATGGCACAGGTTTTGATGTTCAAAGAGGAACTGGATTTTCATCTGCCCATTGATTATACCGAGCAAAAGCCCTTCCCAACTGAATGCTGACCTGGGGACGCGAGAGAGAGAATGAGTAAGATACACCATTTGTCTTTGCTCCTATGCATGGTGTAAACATGAGACAAGCACAATTGTTCACAGCCACTGTGATATGAACGGCCTGTTAAAATAACAACTGCAACAAAGCAAGCTTCTTGGAAGCCATGGGGCAGAATGAAAAAAAAAAAAAACAAACCCTATTAAACGTGAAGTCTACCTTTTCCCTGTTCTGTCCCCATCACTTACGACCTGCAGCTCTGCCTCTGTGCCTTTATTTGGAGTGTGCCAACCCCCTGGCTCTAAGGCGCTGTGACACAATGAAGAAAGTGCAGCAAGACTTGGGGACTAAAAAGGCTTGTGCAAGATGGTCAGAATATAAAGTAGGTCTTAAATGGGGCATAGGCCCGTGCTTTGTCTTCAAGGCTGGTTGCTCAGGGCTGCAATCCTGCAAGCAGACACGCCTGGGTGCCAGGACAGAGCCCTCCAGAAGTCAGCAGCACCCTCTGGGAGGGAGAAGGTAGGACTTCCAAACCAGCCCTGCTAAGTTTTTCAGCCCTGACAGCTGCACGGGACAGCAGAGATCATTTCCCACCCACAGTTTGTGTGCAGGCAAGACGTGAGATAGTCCTTCAGTGGCAATGAGGATTTGATGACCATATAGGTCCTTCCACCTTTCAAGTTTTAATTCTGCAGTTCAGGCTGGCTTTGAAATACAACCAGGAATATAATTTCTGTGACTTGTCTGCCTGTATTATAAATCTGTTACACTGCTATGGCAGGATTAACAGGGCATAAATGCAATACACTGACCACTCCAGAGATAATATAATTTCTGCCATTCAGTTGTCATAAGAGCCTAACTATGCACAGCAGAATAGTTAGAGGGCAGCTAATTTATTGTTTTATTCTAAATCAACACTGACCTCTTAATACAGGAGTTACAAACGTAGAGATCAAACTTCCAGCATTAATGGATAAATAGAAGATGGAAAAAAACTTGCTTCTCTCCGAGGTCTAAAACAAGAGAAGACAACATCAATGTCATGGCTAACACACAGCATTGGGCTCGCAAATTGAACACTATCAATTCTCTTGTTAGGAAGGCTGAGTAAATATTGACACGAAGTGCATAAAATGTTAAGCAAACAAGCCTGTGTTCAGGTGATGGTAAATGCTCACACAAATCAGCTCACATTACTTGAGAAGTGCTTTGGGGCTTTTTGGCATTTCACAGGAAGAGCCACTGCTTTGAGAGTGTTGTGAGACTGGAAGGAAGGGAGAGCATTTACTTATTCAGAACAAGTAGCATGATTCAGATCCTTTGTCACCTAATTCAATACAATTTGGCATGGTTTGACAAGCTCATAATTTCTTCCCATGTCTGAGCTCTTTATTTGTGTTCTCTTCTCTCCTGTGTAGAAATAGAAAAAGAAACCTGTATATTTTAAGGAGCTGGTAATTACAGCATAGATGAAAGAGTGCCAGCAAATGAGAAGTATCCATCAGACAGGAGATCACCAAGCTGAGGACAGTCAACCTCAAAGGGTAAATTAAATCTAGGGGAGCAAATTCAAGAGCCTGAGGGAGGAATGAACTCCAAGAGAAAGAGTTCAGACTTTAACTTATGTTGTAACATATTACAGTTCATACAGTCAAATGATTCCTGCTGATATTCTTTCTTCCTACATAATTCCTAATTTGGAAGGAATCCAGAACTTGATGCAAAGCTGGGCCGTTTTTGCAGGAGTAATATGTGAGGGCATTCAACTGAGGGCAGTCTCTCCTTTCTTGTGGGAGAGACAGACATGCACAGTCTCATGCATATCCAGCAAGTGGAGAAACAAGGGCAGGGTACCTGACCTAACAAATGATCATCTCTATCACCAGCTCTGGGACACTTGAGTCGGTAAAGGTAGTGGGGAAAATTGCTTCAGACACGGCATGGTGCTTGGCAGAGAGCTCCTTAGGGCACACTGAACCACATCTCCACGACCTGAGCATCATTTGAATGTGAAGCTTTAACTTAGCTGAGCATAAGGAACTCCCCAAGGACCTTTTTCTGTCTCCTTTCCCTCTAATATGTCCTGCTTCCTTTTGCTCCCCGAGACAACACTATTCACAAGGCTAGAAAACTGGAGAAAATGTGAAGAATTGCAGGCAGTTAAAAGAGGACAGCTTTTATGTGATGAATCCTGGGATCCAAAAACATAACAAAACTTCCTGTAACTGATGGTTAAGACAACAGGAAATATCGTTACTTTATATGGCAAGGAGTCCCTTATCACTGCAGGGAAGGTGGGGAGGTGGAAGAACATGGGAGGGTTTTTCTTTATGTCCCCTTGTAAAGCAGGTAGTGGGAAGGTGAGGATGAGGGCCCCATCACCTCCCACTGCCACCCACCAAGGTGTCTGGGGGTCTGTTTACTTGGATTAAGGGCTTTTTATCTTGACCCAGCACAGTTATGAAGACCCCATCAACTCGAGCTTTTGGCTTTTCCACAGTTTTATTTTCTAGAGTGTTCAAGGCTATCTAGTCCATACATTACTCACAAACTATTTATCCTGGACTAAAGGATTTGAAAGCCTTATAAAAATCATCTCTGTGGCATGTTCCAATGGTTAATAGAAAACAGCGCTGGGTCTTACTATCTGTTATAATCCATTTCTGTCCTTAACGATGGTTTTGATTACCTGAAACTTTCTACTGCTAAACTAGTAGAAGTGTATTTTCTTTTTCATTCTACCTTTGTGACTGGATATTTGTCATCATGAGGAAATCTAGAGAAATGAGCAGCCTCAGCAATCTTTCCCACTCCTGGAGTAGCCCTGCCATGGCTTGTCAAGGGTGGTGCAGTAGAGTCCTCACAGTCCTGCTCTCTTTCTAGTCACAATTCTCATGCCATGTCTCTAACCCTTTATATCTGAGCAACTCAGAATTTCTGAGAGCTGTAATAAACTCAAGCATGCAGCTCTTGACATGATAAAGTCTAGAGCAACAATTACCAGAAAGAATGTGATGGTAAAAAAAGCGGATAGTGATGCATAAAGACTTTGGAGCACCTTATTTCACACCTTTTCTGATTTCAGCAATGGAAAATAAAATGGTCAGAGAAAGGCTACAAAAATAATGACCCAGCAGCTTGCAAATTACACTGATAGAAAAAAAATTAATTCCTTCCCTATTGTCTTAATCTTTGGGGCAGACGTACATTAACAACATGATTTGGATTAGCTAATTTGAGAAAATGTACCATACATGATAATCCTGATCTCCTTGACAACCAGAAAATAAAGAAACAAAGAGAAAGCTATTTAGTACCTTAAACACCATACTGCACTGTTTGAAAGCAGCTTTGGTCCCTAATTAATATGCAAAGCAGCTCCACATTCATATAAAATATCATAAATATAATTTTGTTCAGGCATTTTAACTTGGACTCCTAATCCTATAGACAAAGATGCTTGGAAATCTCCTGTAGATAAATCTACTTTCCCTATCTGACCTCCTGCCAAATCACTCTCCATCACTGTCTGCAGCAGTACTGTTCTCAAAGTGGCAGATCCAAGACTATTACGCTCATAAAGTACTTAAAGGAGGATCAGACTGATGTTGCGCATTTACCTCAAAACATAAACTTGTCTCAGGGGCAATTTATTGTTTTATACACAAAACTACCTCATCCTTAGCTTTCAGATTGAACAACTAAGCCTGTGCACTTTAGGACTCAGTTGAAATTTATTCCTGAAAACTAAGGGAGAATCAAATGCTTCATTTAATAGGGAATTTTCAAACTTATTTCATTCTACCTGGAGTGGAAGAAGAGGAACATAAGTCCCCTCAAACACCACTCCAGAGGGAAGAAATATTGTGGTGGCCTCGAACCTTTTCTTTCTTACAAATTCTCATTCCAATTCTGAAGACTTAAACTTCCTATCACATAGCATAAAACATTTGTTTCTTCTGAAAGGCCAAGTAATTTCAAAATGGTAAAATAGAAAACTTTCTATTCTGAAAAGAATGAATAGACCAGAACACATTGTCCTTATCAGAATGCTTTTTACAGTTTTCTTTCTCTAAATTAGTTTTTCTTGAAGGTAACATACAGGTGAATGTTTGAGACTTAGTATTTGATAAATTTGTTGGAGAGATGTAGTCTGAATGCTGAAAAATGGGTACAGGCAACCACAGGCAATTCAGGTTTTTCCTCTGTAACAGCTGTGGTTGCAAGTTTGGGATAATAATATGTATGTGCCTGACTGGGGTGCTGAGATTCATTAGCTGAAGTCTATAAAACACTCTGAAGATAAGTGGTACATATTATCATACTGTAATTAGGTGGTAATTGAAAGATGCTGGATAAACATTATTAATTATTAATATTCATAGAAGTAGCACTTCTGTAAATGCTGCTCTAACATGAGTTAGAATCCTTTTGGATCCAATTGACAGCCCAGGATGGTCATGCCCGCAAAACGTTATGCTTTGGACAAGTGACCATGAAACATCCCATGATCTGTTTCTCCTTAGTAACCATAAGCTTCACTACTTCAGCATCACACAGTTCATGTGCACAAAGCACAAGTCTTCAAAAAGTTTTAAATCTAGTCCATATTGTTAGTTCATTAAATGCTGACGACATACTGGGGCATTGCAAAAGACAAAGAAAAAACTGCTCTATGCGGCTCTTTGTCCAACTCTACCAGTGGCTTTCCTGACAGACTACTAATCTAAAGCCTTTCTTCAGTGAAGGACTGGAATTCCACTGATGGGAATTTCCATCTCCCAAAGGTCCTCATGTTTTCCAGTATTTCTCTAGATCTATTTTCTGGAACAATTTTTCGGACTGTCACTCCTAAATAATCCTCCTTGAATATAATCCTACTCATCACAGACCCCCACACTTATTTTCTTTTTTCTAGCAGTGGCCTTCTACGTATTTGAGGACTTATGCCATGCGCAGAACTTGTGGATTTGAATGCTGCCACTGAGAAAACGGAAATTTTTATTTGTGTTTTAGGTCAACATACATCTGTTTAGTTTCAGGTCAATTTTAAAATTTAGCATTTTGCCTGAGGATTAGCACTTCCTGACCTGCTTCGCTTCTTTAAGCGCTACCTTATCCCTAGTTGAGCCCCTGTGCTGCATAACGGGAGTATGAGATTAGTGCAGATGAGGGGCTAAGCACTTATGACAGAGAATGAGGACACGAGGCAACTGGACTACAATTCACAGGATACAAAGCACAAGCAGAGCTAAACAGAAACATTTTCACAACTCCTTGGAACTTTCCATTCTGGAATATCTAGAAAACATTCTGGTACTACTTTCAAAAGACTGGAATTTCCTACAGTTCTTTCTGAACAACATCTAAGAAACAGATTATGACTTGAGGACAAATTCCCATGGAATCATAGGCTGGTGACAAAATTTTTTTCTTCCCTTTGCTGTATTCCATTGCAGTGCATTATAATCACCCCTGTTGAGCTGGTTCAGAAATGGCTACAGTTCCATGATATACGAGACAGGATTTTCCAACTACTCTGATGTCCAATTAACATTTAGATGATCTGATGCAATTATGACCTATCCTTTCCAATATCAGTCCTGTTCTGCTGTCATTTTCCCTTCCTGAAGCATCCAGATTCTCTCAAGTCTTATGCAAATCATCCTTCCTCACATCTTACTACATCTTTTCCAGCAAACTGGCCCTTATTCTTCTAGCACAGCAGGATTTGATCACAAAAACATCCTCATAAAGTAAGCAGACACTGCAGATTTTAAAAAATAAAAGAAATCTTACATGTTCCTCTTCAAACTGGTCCCCCCCAAATGCAGAGACACAGGGCTTGATACCTCCTGTTCCAAGGGCGATCAAAAACAGACCAACCATAGACAGGACCCTTCATGCAAGAAAAAACATATCACCATTGTAAAACCTTTCCAGTGTTTATGAGAGCATTTTAAATGTCAGCCCACCATGATTCCTCTGATAACGTTGCCTTTTGCACAAGGGTAGTGATGATAAGCCAGCTAAGTGTGAAAAACAAATTAACTATCCTCATTTCTGCATTCAGTACCAGTCAATTAACCAAACTGGTTTTGTCAGTTTCTTGTTGTTCTGAGGCCCAATGGACATACGGGAAATCAAAGATCTGTGGGATTATTTTTCACTCATATGACAACAAAAGATTTCACAGATCAATTGAGAAAAAGAAAAAAAAAATGGTGGGGGAAGGGAAAGCGCCTTCTCCTGTAGCCTTCCAGCCTGGGTAAGTGCAGACAAACTGTTTGAAACAGGCTCATTCCTGGCTGTTTTCTACTTCCCAGTGGTCTTCAAAATACCATTGCTGGCCAGGCAGATTATGTCTGCAGGGAACAAGATGTCAGGACTGGTCACATCTGGGACAAAAGAAAACTGTTCTGTAAACTACATGTGATCTTGCCTGCATGTACTTTTTTTTTTTTTAGAACTGTCATTCATCACACAGCCAAAAACAGCTTGGTGGTTTCAGAGACACTACTCTGACAAGCCTACCAGTTCAGAATCTAGAGGGCAAGAAGGGTTGTACCCAGTGGAAGATACAGACCCTTCTGTCATCAGAAAATGCATTTTTGGTTTGGTGTTCCCATGTACACTGGGGAACCTTGCTGAGCTGGGCAGCCATGCTGATGAAATGCAGGAGGAATGAGTCCAGAGCAGGCAGTTGGATGGAGGAGACCAGGCCTAGCAGCATGGTATAGCAGAGAGGGGTGATCACAGGTGCCTGTGACAAAGGGTTTAGAATCTCTGTGGAGATTTCCAACTCCATCTAATGCATTCGTACACTAAATCCACCCTTCTGCTCTTACTCAGAACATCCCTAGCCCTTCCCTGATGAAAGTAATCCATGCACAGCCCCCAAAATGCTGGCCTGATGGAGGTTAAGCATAGTCCTGAGTAAACCAACTACCATCACAACCTGCTACAGCTCTGTGGCTTCAACGGCTACTTACACATGAACCGCCTGGTTGCCCAGGGATGGAATGGCACCGACTGACTTTATCAGATGGCCAACAACATACACAATGGAGAGGTAGATGATCGTCCTGTGAGGAAAGCAAACAGCAATGACTGAAGGTGCCAGGTGACGTACAATCCGAAAATAGAGCGTGCCCATGCTTCCTGATACAGCAGCTCTACCTGGCAGACACACAAGGAACTGGTTTGTTCCACCACTGGTACAGTAGGCAGCTATAATTCCTTTGTGCCAGCTCTGAGTGCGCTAGGAGAGACAGATAGGCAAATGGGTTCAGATTAAAGAGGGATAGCCCCTGCTTTGTTTGCAGACATTACCAAGCAGAATAAACTAAAAGTGTTTCAGTCTTGTCATGCATGGAAGGCTGCATAGAGGAACATACTGTTCTGTTCCAACTAAGTTTCCAGATTACTAATAACTGGCATTTTGTAGCATGTGCCTAAGTGAATCCCTTGACTGAAGGCATCCCTAGGGACAGTCAACTCACCTAACCAACACATCTGAATTAGGAGTGTGGTTTCCCCATTGTAAGTTTGTTTTAGATCCCAAGTAGGAATCTAAAGGACCTCTGAAGGACTGAGCTTACCTATCTGCCTCCCATGTGTTGGTGAGAGAGAAGAAGAAATCTGAGTAGGACAATCAGGCTCTCGAGTGTATTATATTTCTTCATCACCTTCAGGATTAAGAGACATCTATGTATTTATGTGCAGATGACAGATACAGAGGGAATGAAAGGACTTGTTAGGACAGAGACACTAAAAGTCTAAGGAGCTTTGAGCATGGAAGTGATCCCCAATGCATTCAAACCCTGGTTGTAACAGCTAATTTACAGCCACATCAGATCACTCCTAAAAGCCCCTCTAATCTGTTATCCTGTCCTTGGTATTGGCTGAGGTCCAGCTACTACAGCAAAAGCCACCTCCTAATAAACTATAGGGATTACTCCAGGGAAAGTCTCTTGCCTAACACACCAAAGCCTGTGTAAGGATTTACCTTCTCACTACATCATGCTGCACAACAGACATCCTCAAATACCAATGAACATTGCTAGGTGACCTTAAATAATGAAGTTAATAAACCCTCACTGTTTCTTTTTTCATTGAAAGCGATAAGAGAATTACTAAAATTGAGAACGGAGAAGAAAAGAACATGGATGTCTGCTCAAGAACTTTCTTCTGGAAAGGCATATGGCAGTTGTTTATTTCCTGCTGAGACTGTTCTGCCAGATGTGTGTAGTCCTACAGAGAAGGGTTCGGCTGCATTTTATCGCCCTGACAGCCAAGACTCCTCAGACAATGAACAAACAAAGTCCTATATCCAGCTGCTCACCACCACTCTGGGGCAGATGTTGGCTCCACAAATTATCATCAGAAGGGAAGACTACCTAAGGACTCTTATTCAGGAAGAGTTTACCTGGTTGTGTTCTCATGGAGATGATTTGAGTGAACCCAAGTTTTTCAGGCATAAAAATGGGTGTGCTCACACATTCCCTATGCTGTGAAAAGCCTAAGTAAGTACACAATAGTTAGTGTCATTTCAGTAGTTAGTGCCATTTCATCTGAAAGGGCATGATCTAGATAATGACACGGGTTCCTCATTATCTTTGAATCCTTCCTAGAAGCAGATCTTGGCAAACTGAGGGTTAATCACCCTACATATCAGCTTCCTGAACAGTGTAGGGAAGGGTAGTGGAGGAAAAGCACATTTGTTGCAATTAATTTGTTCCAACTTTGTTGCCTATTGGCCCTTGGGTATAAGAGGAGCACGGAACAGCGTGAGCAGATGGATCAGTTGTCAGCAGAGGGGAGCTGACCTTCCCAAGTGTGTCTTTGCTGCACTGAGCCAGTTCAAAAGCGGGAGCATCGCACAGCACTGCCCTTGCACAGGCTGCACGGTGTCGATGCACGCTGACTGAATTAGAGAGGTGTCTTCACTTACTTGTATTTCCCCAGCCACGAGTCTGCCATGATGGCTCCGATGACAGGTGTGAAATAACATAGCGCGGAGAAGGCGTGGTACACAGCAGTGGAGAGATTCTCATCCCAGTGGAAGAAGCTCAGGAAATACAGTGTCAGGACAGCTAAAAGGAAACAAGCAAATCACATCAGATAATTAATGTGTATCTCTGCAGGTAAGCAGAATCATGGTGGCAAGAAAACCACTGCCTTGCCTAGCAACTGTGAGCACTGCTGTGGAAATATTTGTGCTTTCAGACCTGTTCCTCATAATCTCTGACATAGGAAAAGCTAAAATGAGATATATGAGTATCATGCATTCTTTGCTCGTAAACATTTATGCTTACCTGAAAAATATATATTCTCTAGCTTATCTTGCTGCAGTTTGTTTATGCACATTTTCTGTGTGCAGATTAGGTGCCTGTAAGATTCAATTTCCAAACACACAGATTGCACACAGCTATGAAAGACATGACACACTAGAAAACCAGGTGTGATAAAGAGATTTAAAAATTTAGACTGGAAGGTACATTTGAAGCCTTCTAGTCCCAACTTCTGCTCAGAGTAGATACAGCAACAATGTCAGGGTACACTGTTCATACTTGCATTCCAAAATACCAATTTACTTTGAAAGACAGCTCAGACCACATACAGGACAGCCCCAGAACACCAGTGTGTATAGAAACCCTAGGATGGGAAAGTCACCTCCCAGACACAGGCCACATACCTCTCATGCCATAGTAGGAGAAGCGCTCGCAGAACTCATTCACCACAATGAAGGCAATGCTCAGGGGGTAGTTGGAGCCACAGAGTTTCTGTGGGAGACAAAGAACAACATATCAGCTGGGTAGAAGTCTTTACCCCAGTAACATATCCCCACAGCACCTGGATGGTAGAGAAGAGTCCAGTGCAAAAACCAGGTGCCAACTGCTGCTTGACCGGACTGTGAGTTGGACTCAAAGGAAAGAGTGGACCTCACACCACTCTTGCTTTGTTTAAGGCTCCACAGGGAATCAGCCTGGCTGACATGGGCCCAGTAAGGACTGCCATGGGAATTAGTGGGCTGTCAGCAGCCCTCCATGCTTGTAGCTCCAGGAACTCCACTGGAAGGGTGCTACCACCTCCCTACTGCAATGCAAAAAGTCACTGAGATGAAAAAACACATTTGGATGCCTTTTCTTCTACACTTCATATAAAGCTACCACCCTGTCCCAAAACTGCTCCCTCTCCTAGCACCAGATCTTGCCTCAGAAGTTGGGAGACCCCACGGATTTGCTGTCTGCTTCTGTGTGTGAAGCTGCTCCCTCCCATGTGACAACTGCCCTCAATCTCTGCACCTCACTTGCACCAAACTGTGCCGTCACATTCACTGAAGCAGAACATCAGCCCTGTGTCCAGCACTCCCTCAGGCATGGCATTCATTTCATATTCCAAGGTTGCTGGCATAGCTATGGATAATTCAATTTATTAATCAAAACTAAAAAAAAACCAGCGATGTGACTGTCAAACCTGTCTGAGTGTGGACACCCTCTTGCTGAACCTGACTTTACTCCAGCTAAAATCAGCAGTTCCCAAGTGAAATAGAAAGCATTAAACAGACGAGTTTTGGCATGACCTTGTGTGGGCCCCCGTCCCTCTTGCTACCCCACAGCGGTCCATGCTAAGCAGCTTTCAGCTTCCAGCTGCTTAAGTAGCTCCACTGCCTCGCAACAGGAAAGCAGGTTTTCACAGCACTGCCCAGCCTCTGCCAATTAGCGGGAGAGAGGGGCTGGCCATGCTTTTGGTGAGGGACTGAGGGGAGTGTGATGTTAACAGCCGCACTTACGGTTCTAAACAGCCATGGTATGGGCCAGTGAAGTGAGGTGAACTCTTCACATGCATTTCTGTGCCTCGTGTTGGAAATAATGAATTCCTGTACTTCTTCCCAGAGTACCAAATGCAAATATAGGTACCAAAATAGATGTTTATTCAGGTTTATTTCACCACCATGAGACTTAGGCATATTTGGATTTCCAAAGCAACATCACCAACTTTAGAAGAGCCTAGCCTAATTATGCTGTCTTGCTCAACATTATAAAAGAGCAACAAAAGAGACTGATTGTCAAAAAAAACCCCAAAACCAAACCATAACTTCCTCCACCCCACTTTCCATTACTTAACTAAGCATCTCTAAAGCTAAATATTTCTGTCCCTCTTGTGTGTATATATATATATATATATATATATATACACACTTCTCTCACTATTTATGGGCTGCCTTTTTAATAAGAAACCCTTGGCCTGTTCGCTTTCCCAGAGTAAATACATAATTATCCATTACATTTATTATTTACTCTGGAACCATCATGTTCAGCATATGGTTTGTAAGAAAGAGTGGGCTCCCTTGGAAACAGCACTGAGGCCTCCTGCTTTTAGACTAGCCCAAAACCGGTGGCATACATAGGCTGTAAATGCACAAACACATAAACATAAGCACACATAGAATACCTTCCTACAACAGGTTTTTCATAATAAAAGAAGAAAAGCCATAAGAGGCAAATTATGTTTCCTGTGGGTGCTGGGAGGCATTTTCTGAACTTTGAAGTAAAACTGTAGAGCGGGGATTTTTTTTCTTCCTCTCTCTCACAGATTTCATAACATCTGATGGAGATGCAGAGCGTGACTGTTCAAACCCAGGTGTCAGGAGTGCTGCTGCCTGAACTCACCCCTCCACACCCAGTGCACAAGCCCCGGTGGATTCAGCTGCAGCAGTTGAAGGTGCAGTGACTCATTTCAGCCACTCCTGCTCTGGGATGGGCACCTCCTAGAGATGAATAGGGGCAAGAAGGGAAAGGAGAGCAGAGGGCGGTGACTTCCAAGCTAAACCTCCCCGAGCGCCTGAGCCAGGACCCTGAGCAAGTGCTTACAAACACACAGCAACGACTTACAAGCAGGGGTACTTCCATCTGGCTTGCATGACATCAGATGGTATCAGCACTTGCAGAAACCCTCCTGTTTTCTCTCCGCTGTATCACTGACCTGCCTGTGGCCTGCCTGGACATCCAAAAGTGGGAAGCTTTCATCCATGCAGAGAGCCAGGTGCGGTTCGCTCGCTTTCGCAGAGGAGAACCTTGCTCAGCAGAGAGCCCCAGCAAAAGCAAAGAGGTTAAGCCCGGATTCATGAACGCACAGATAGTCTGCAGTGCTTAGCTACCACAGCAAGCCTGGGATCTGCGGGATTATGGACCTCTTAAAGATACTGTGGAAGTTGATAGTCTGTGTCTTTGGAAAAAAGATAGTTCATTTGAAGTGCCTGCTACAGGAGACATTTGTTTTCACATCTCCTTCTTGCTGACTGGCTGCAAAATGGGATAAAGATTAATATTTCCAAGGAGCTCTGGATATCCAATAGTTAATGTCTGCACAGTACTTCTAATTGTGAATTAAACAGTTGGCTTGCTAACGACATGACTGTGAGTTTCAAGACCAAGTATTACGTATTATCCTGCAAGTCAAAGCAGCTACAATACAAGCCAAGTTCCCCCTCAATCCAATGCAGTGAATAGTTTTTAGGGGTCAAGCACTCAACAGAATTAGGCTGAAAACCTGCACAAACATCAAACCTGCAAGGCAGCAATATATTCACCTGAGTCAGGCTTTAAATCAGAGCTAAAGATGTAAACTCAAGGCTCTGGCACTACAGTTGGACTCTAACACTCAGCAGTGGCCTGTCCTCAGTTCCTGTCCTTCCTTCTGCTTTGCAGCATCTGGGGACCCTTCCCTGGTGGGTTTCATCAAACCAATCAAATGCAGGGGTCAGCTCTCTCTGTCCCACGCACAACATCCCTCTCTACTTCAGAGAACTAAGTCCTTTCCCATAAGAAAAGCAGTGTTCAGGAAAAAGACAGCAATCAAAACCCTTACCCTTTTCCCCAAACATTCAGACAGTTTGTATTTCCCCTTTAAGCTGCACTTTCTTAACTTAATCAGGTTAGTGGAAGGATTTTTTCCTTGAGTTGTTAATGCTTATTTCAACGCTCTGCAAAAAAGGGTGTTTGTCTCCAGCCAGAGCACAACAGAGGAGAGAACAGAGAGATCTTGCAATGTTTAGAGCAATCTGAGCAGAAAGCAAAGCAAAGGAAACCAGCAGTAACACTCACCGGGGATTTTTTCTGAAGAGGGAAATCTCCTTTGGGGGGGTCATCTCCTGCAGACATAAAATTGAACAAAGTTTCCTTGGATTCATTTCTCTGAAAAGCGTTCATCTCCCCTCTCGCCTTGTCTCCCACCATGCTATGTGGCTGTGGTGAGTTGACTGGGAAGATTTCCAACCTCAGGCACGAAGTTTGATTCAGTTTGAGTTAACCCTAATTGAGCACATTTGTGCAGCCAGGGCAGAAAGGGGAGGGAGATGCTACCCGGAAAGACAACTGCAGAGTTCAAGAAGAGCCAGGGAAGACAGCGTAAATCACTGACAGGTTGGGGCTGTCAGCACTTTGTGCCACAGACCTCCCTGTTTTTTGGCATGTCCCCAGCCACGGTACGTGCACCAGGCCAGCACGGTACTGTAGGCTGCACAGATGTGAGCTGAATAAAAATCCCAGGTCCCAGACACACCTACAGCCTGTGGATTTAGGAGCAAAGTGTACATCTCCCTCCCAAGGTGGTAATGACAGGTTTACTCTGCAGGGATCTCATTCCACTGAAAAGCCACACATTCCATCACACCAAACCCCTGGACACTGGATGTCACGGATGCCTGCACTGTGTTAAATCATTTCAGGAGTGAAGTGACCCAGGGTTCATTCTCACACCAATTCCCTGGAATGACCTTGTCTTTTCCCACGGGTCAGTTTAATCAAGGGGGCACAGCCAGCACTCAGGAGCAGCCCCAAACCCCCTCTCTACTTTCTATTATGCAAAAGAACACCTCAGGACTCATTAAGTGGCAAATGCAGCCTATTGTGCTGGGAGTCCCAGGACTCCCCCTGCAGCTGTGTGGGCTCAGCTCCCTGCAGGTACCCTGATGTCCTTCCTTCCATGTCCTTCCCACAGGAATAGTGGAGCTCTTCATCAGTATTCTTCCAGTGCCAGCTGCAATTACAACCTTCCCATAAACTATCCTCAGTAGTTGTGTCTCTGCGTATCCTTGGCACAGTACAGTGGTTTTTTCTCCCTCTTACACTTGGCTTCTTTAAAAGGCAAATGTTCAAAGAATTTTCCAAATATTTCTCCCTTCTCTTATTAGCAAAGCACGTACCACACCCAGAATCCATAGCCAATACAAGGAGGCTCCATAAACTCATCCTTAGCTCCAGCATCAGCTTGCTGATGATAGTGCTTGGGTATCAGAAGAACCAGGTTTGCAGTTGGCAAACCAGGAAACAGGCCTTTGCTCACACCACAGATCCTTAATCTGACTTCAGTAGTTGCTAACAAGACATGGAGAACACTTAGTCAAGGGAATCAGACGTGACAAGAGTGCACAGAGGAAGCATAATTACTCTCCACATTCCCTTATATGCTCTGGCATTGCTTTCTCTGAAAATCCCCAGGGATCCTGTTCACTGGGCAACTAAACATGAAACTCAAACTACAGATGGGGCCAGGAAGGTCTACCCATTCCTTAGTCCTTTATTCTTCTACAGCAGCAGCAAAGCAACAGTTTGATACCTCTCCTGTACCGCCACAGACCGGCTCATCTTCAGCCCCTCTAGTGATCTACACACCCACACAACCTTTTCACTGGGTCCAGCCTCCAGTGAGCTCAGGTTTGTCAAGCCCATTGCATGGGCAAGAGTGACTCAAAGGCAGACCCAGTGCTGGGGGCAGTGCAAGGAACAGGACTTGTGCACACTGGTCCTCTTTCCTGCACACCAGGGTAGCACATGCTCTTGTCTCCTGCAAGTCTGACCCCGTGGTAGAGAATATTTCTGAGTCCTCTGGTGGCATCTCTTACTGCCCCAAGTATTTCTGTACAACTCCCGATAGAAACCTGCTGTATTCTGCCATACACGGGCGAGCAGAGGAAACACAGCAGCAGAGTTATTAAAGGAGTAATACAAAAGGAAGACAGAAGAGGTTTCACTGTCTCTTGCACAGGGCTCCCACACTGCTGCAATGTGATGCCTTAATACTTTCAGCCTTCTGCAGCTATATTTCCTCTGTGTGTATACAGCCCCGTGTGTCACATAAGCTAAATGATTATTTCTTTTAATACTAGCATGAAAAACCCTATCAGTCAGTAGGATTAACATACTACTTGTCTAATACACTGCAGAGCTCTTTAGGCCATTAGCTGCCAGAAGGTCTTCACAGACAGAAAGGGAGAAAAGGAATTCAAATGCCTGGCAATAAATGGTAACTCGTAGCAAACAACAAAAAATGAGTTAGGGAGAATAACTTTGCAAGCACATCAGATACAGATACAGAATAATACCTGATAGAAGGAGACCTGTGCAGCTGGGCTGAAAATCAGGAAGGAATTGTACCACAAATGGAAATGAGGTGGCATTTCTGAAGATGGCTAAAAACAAACGCATCAAACACAGAGCGGTAGAGGCTGCAAAGCTGAGGCACAAAATGAATTACAGCTAGCAGGGGGACACAAAAGGCAATAAGAAAAGGTGTTAGAAATGCTGTCAACACTGGAGAAAGAGGAAGGAAAATGAAAGGCTGTTATTTAAACCAGAAAACAAGCAAACAAAAGATCATCCACAGAAGCCAGAAAAGTTGTGTCCTTCTCGTTTGTTTCCACTAAAAAAAGTAAATTGCAACAAGATGCCCAACACCACTAAAATGAACTAATGGGAATATGAGTGAAACATATGGGAGAACATGCTTAAATAATATTTGGATACCTCAAATGTGCCCAGATCATTAGAGCCTAATGAAATTCACCTTCAAGTGCTGAATATCATACACTCAGGCACTTCCCATGTGGGGGGCAGAAGCACAACCAAGCATCACCACTGCCTTTAAAAAGGCAGGTTAGGACAACCCAGGTGTGTTCCTCCATAGCTGGAGAGATACTTGATCAGATAATCCCTTGTAAGCACCAAAAGGAGAGTAAGAATTACAAAACAGCCATTTCAGACTGGAAAAAATGCTCTCAAACCAGACTGATTTTTTCTTTGGTGACAGGGTAAGTGGCATAACAGCCAAAGCAGCTCTGTATGTGGTATATCCTAACTCGAGTATCTCCAACGTCACACAAGGAAATAAAGCCCAGATGAAATGCCCACATAGTGGACAACTGGAAAATCCCTCTCAGAGCAGCTATCAATGATTTTCCATCAGACTAGAAAAGCACAAAACATGCAGGTGCTCAGCTTTTCCATGAGCAAAGAGAACACCTGCACAGCCAGTGTGCTGCTCTCCTTTGTGCCCCAAACCAGGATGGAGAAGCATGGGGGAGAACAGGGTATGACCTCAAACTGGTGTATTGCAAAATGGGAGAAACCATTTTGCAGCTCTGGAATGAAAAAGATGGCGTTTGGAGAAGAAGACTATCAAACACTAATCCTATCCACTGACAGGAAAAACAGTCACAGAGACCAACTGTTCTCCATTTTCATCAAGGATGAGAGAAATAACTGACTTTATTTTCAGTAAAGACGATTTGGGGTCCTTTTTCCAATTTCCGTACCAGTAAGGACAGATAAGCACTGGAACAGAGATGGTGTGGCTGGGGCTGCAGGATTCAGGCAACCCATGATTTCTGTTATATAAGAATGTATTAGGGACTGGATAAATATCAGGTCCTGTCCCAGTGCAGGCAGATGGATGAGGTGTCCTCCTGAATTTCTGTGAAAATCTTGTGCCAAACAACTTCACCTGGTAAGCACTAAAATGAGGACTGCTTTCTGTATAATTTCCTCTTTTCTAAGTTATCCTTTATGCAAGTGAGGAGTCTGCAGGATGATTCATGCTTAAATGTAATATTCAGCTACCAGACTCCTCGTATAGCCAGAAGTTCCCATGAATAGATATTTGCTATGACTTTGAGTTCATAATTTAATTTTTTCTGGTTCCCAAATCCTCAGGAAGAAAATCTGCATTTTCCCACTGCTTTTACAAACCCCATGTTCTCACTGCTCCCTGCTGCAGTACTGTGCACCTTAATCTGTTTATACTCAACTAATCTCTTCATTTTTACCTGCATTCATCTTGTGGTACAATCCCTTCCTAATTTTCAGCTCAGCCACACTCGTCTCTTAATAATGAGTCTTATTTTTAATTCATAGACACTGGCCATACTTTTACAGCCCTTTTACCACATATGCATTTCTCTCCTCTTTCTCTATTTTCGAGATAAGGTTTTAAGAAGCTAGAAGAATGTGTGCCAGCAACACTTAGGGCTTAATGACCAGACCCTGGAAGGACATGATAACCTCTCCAGGTCTCATCTCGCTTATTTTCACCAACTCTTTGATCACAAAAAAGAGCAGGGCTTAACTGATTTAGACAGATCAAGACTGGTTTCCATTGCCTGCAGACTTCTCCTAAACTTCAAAGTAATTTAAGAAAATGATGTATAAAATCATTTGAACAACCAGGAAAATATGCCAGGGGCCTTCAAACCCACACCCCTCCTCTATTCATCAGCCTTTACAGACTCAAAATTGTAAAGGTATTTAGATTAATACCACTAACAATATACAGTACCTAATCTGTATTTAAGTGATTGTCATCTGGTCCCTAGTCAACCTGTAACAATCCAAGAAACTTCTCATCTCTTCTCACACCTTTTTACTTTCACTTTCTCCTATGATTAGCAAGAAGAAGTCTTTTTAAATTCTCTCACCAGCCTGGGGTTCCTCGGCAGCCCGCGGCGTGCCGTCCCCCTCTGCCATGCCGGGCGATTCCTGCGCGTTGGACAACCACAGCTCTGTTGTGCCTGGAGACGAACCCTGTTGAGCAATCCTGGCTCGCTCTCACCCTGTTGTTAATGTTTCACTTCACAACAGCAGTCCTTCGGCCCCCAGTAAAATAGTTAAATTTTCATTTAGTTTTTGATCTGAAGTCATCTTCGCTCAGCTCGCAAATGTCATAGGGAATCAGCCTTTCCTGAGCACAGCCTCTGAGGCTGCATGGCACCTTTCATGGATGTTCACGATCAATCACTTTGCACTGCAGCTACACGACCTTTCAATAAAGTTACTAGTTCTGGACGTGGTCAGGGACTGGCTCTGTGACTAGGCAGGATCTATAGCTGACCATAAATCCAAATTTTTGACACTGTACACCGGTTACAGAGCTGACCTTATCTATACGTGCCTTTCAGTATCACAGAATAATAGAAGAGTTTGGGCTGGAAGGGACCTTTAAAGGCCATCCAGTCCAACCCCTCTGCAATGAGCAGGAACAACTTCAACTAGATCAGGTTGCTCAGAGCCCTGCCCAAGCTGATCGTGAATGTTCCCAGGCACAGAGCACCTAGCAGTTCAGGTTGTGAGAAG